CCAAAAAGCAGGGTACAAATCAGCATCCAGCTGTGATGCACAACATGGATGCCAACCATCAGCTAAAAATTTCTAAGGCAAATAGAGAGACTGAATGCAAGCATGCTTAGAAAATGGGAGAATATATATCTCACAGGACTGGGAGAGACCTCAGAAATCATTGTTGGGGCACTAAGAGGCCTGATGCCTTAAGCCCCTAATGGTTTTTTATTTTTCTAATATTGGTAAGCCTTATAAGTTTTATAAGTAGATTCTAAAAACAGCAACCCTCCCTCCTTGTCCCTTATCCCTTTCCCTCTAGCACCCTTGTTTACACATTCCTTAACCCTCTTACCCCATTCTATGCTCCCTATATCAATCCTACTCCTGAAACCAGTAGAAATGTTTAGTCTTTTGTCAAGGCAAGGCCTAGATTGTTAGCAGAACAACATATCAGGGCCTAAACCACAGAACACAGTCAAAAACTGGGTTACTATATACCCTTTCTGCTCTAAGGGAGATGAAGATGGGATGAACAGGGAGTCCCGAAATGCACCCCAGACCCATTTTCAGGGGGTGGACCCCGGGGCGGTCCAGAGTAAAGGCCACAGGGTGGACACATCTGGGATTGGATGGATGGTATTATAAAATGTAACATCTCAGGCACGGGCGTGCGTTGTGTAACATCTACTGCCTTGGTAAAATAAACCCTTTCTTATCTCACCCCTAATTAACTGCTCCGGGAGTTTTTTTTTCAGCACCATAAATCCCACGGCAACAGACCAGTAAGGTTCCCCCCCCCTTAGTGTCCCGATAGTCATCAACTATCCTCCTTCCTGAAGGAGGATTAATCAAATATTCCTTAGTCCTGGGTGATGTTTGTTTAACCTGATCTTTAAAGTGCCTTGGTGACTGAGATTTTGCAATATTTTATTTCCTATGCTTCATTAGAGGAACAATTAGACTGTTTTTCTTGTATTTCGTTAATATCCTATATTGATCTGTTTAAACTCATTATATCTTGTCCTATTCACTGTGGTCATGGAAAAGAAAAAAAAAATCAAAACCGTTTGTCTATGTGCTGAACTCTTCCATATTTGAATATATGTCCTTTGAGCCTTCCTTGAATCTACTCCATCTTTCTCATTGATCATTTTCACAAAGAAGTTCTGCTTTGAATGCCTCACAGCAGGTCTTTTCAACCACGTGATGTGATGTACTTGGACGTGGCTCTTGAGCATCAGTTTTCAAAATGAAGAATAACCTCCATTTCTATCCGATGAGATCTTGCCATGAACTGCTGGTGACATATTTCATTTGTACGCCCTGCTCTGAAGTTTTGTTCAGGACTACAGGAAGAGGAGACTTTGGGCTACAGCACTAGACTCTGAATAAAGCAAAATAACTTGAAAAGACAGCAAGGGTGAACTGAGTGCCTCAGCTGGCTGTACTGGTAGATGTGATCGTTTTATATAGTTGTACCAACAAGCTGTCATGTTATTACTGAGAAAACACTGAGCTTGGAGGATCAATGTGAAAACCCTGAGCAGACTGCCTGAGGGGATATATTTTGGCTCTTACCCTGTCTCAACCCACTGATGTAGAAAGGGTTTTCCCTGTGAGGAAAGGAGCAGAGCTGGAGGTCCCCTGGGTAAGGAGAGTACAGGAGCCCAAGAACTGTCTTGCAACCATGACCATCACAATCTGACTGAATCACAGCTAGGGCTGGACTTGTTTGTACCAGAAAGATAATGTTAATTTGGATTGTGGTTTTTAATTTATTTTGTTTATTTTATTTAGCCTGAGGAACTTGTGTTGGCTTAGCCAAGCAGTATGGAGTACAAGCAGATTGATGGCACTGCCAAAATATACTCATATTGTGCATAAAGGATATAGCCAAGTTAGTCTGCAAAGGAGTTTATAGAAATACAAGCAATTAAAGAAGAAACAAACCCTCTTGTACCATGGATTTATTGAGCTGTGCAGCACCAGATAAACACACATTCTGGGGTGATGGTGATGTATGTGCATTTAAACAGCAAAGAACCAGCCTTCTGATTCTGTTATTGGAAGAATAAGTCACACATATTCTGGGACAAAAAGGGAAAGATGCAAATTGTTTCTGTATGTTCCTTCTTGTTTATACTGAAGGCATTTAAGATAAAAAGGTTACATTTTTTTTACAGAAATGTTCTTGTGTACACAATCATTGATTTAAATTTAAAAAGCTTTCAAGCAGTTTGTCAGGCAGTTCGTTATTGTGTATATAGATAACCTTTCACTGTTTGGTGTTTGAACCCCCTGTAAATAGGAACAGTGGGCAGGATCCCTTTGTAGGAAATTCACCTTGGTGGTCCATTAGATGAACCAAATAACTCAGTGCGTGACAGGACCAGATTGATTTTTCTGTGGTGTTTTTATTTTCTCTTTTTTAAAAGAATACCAGCTGCAATCTGTTCCAAACTGTTTTTTCTTTCACGCTGTCTCATCCTGTTTTGCTTTATTTGTGTTCAGTTTGGGGCTCCTCACTACAAGAAGGACACTGAGGTGTTGGAGTGTGTCCAGAGAAAGGCAATGAAGATGGTGAAGGGTCTGGATCATGAGTCTGATGAGGAAAGCTGAGGAAGCTGGGAATGTTTATCCCGGAGAAGAGGAGGCTCGGGGAAGACTTTACCACACTCTACAACTCCCTCAGAAGAGGTTGTAGTGAGGTGGATGTCAGTCTCTTCTCCCAAGGAGAGGAAATGACCTAAAGTTTTGCCAAGGGAGGTTTAGATTGGATATTAGGAAAATAATTTTTGCTGAAAGGATTATCAAGCATTGGAACAAGCTGCCTGGGGAAGTGGTGGTGTCACCATCCCTGGAACTGTTCAAAAATGTGCAGATGTGACACTTGGGGACATGGTTTAGTGGTGAACATGGCAGTGCTGTGTTGATGGTTGACTTGATGATCCTGGAGGTCTTTACCAACCTTAAAAATTCTAAGATTCTATGATCTGAGTGGTCAAGAGCTGTCTCCTTAAGCCACGTCCGTCTCAAAACGTCACTAACACAGAGCCTGGTCCTGGTAAAGCTGTGTCTATAGCAAGTCAACAGAGGAAACTACCACATGTGAGGTCTTGGAATCAGATATCCCACCTTAGAGACATGCATGTAATAGCAAAACATGCTATAGCAAACCCAGATTTTCCTAGTACAAAGCATGGGCTAAATTTTAATAACAAAAATTGGGACTGCAAGTGTTTCCCTGCAGACAGACCACTCTGTTTAGGGACATACTGGGTCACTGAGAGGCCTGTACAGAAATTTTCCTGTAATTACCTAAGGAGTTAAGGTGCGTGGTCAGCATGGAGTCAATGCTGCTTCCAGCCTCAGAGAGAAGGATGGAATAGCACTCACACAGGCTATTATTGTACTAAAAGGCTGTTTGAAGCCAAAAAACCTCTTGCCATGAAAATACACTGCCCACAGTCCAACAGAATCTACTTTCTGATCTCTTCTGGAAGACTAACTTGGTAAAAAGCTCAGCTACATTGTTGGGCTGGGCAGGCTGGTCCAACCAAAGAGCTGCAAATGCTGATGTGTTCATGCAACATGGAGACTAGAGGTTTCACATCTGATAAAGATCACAAACATTTCTGAAAGCTCTACCCCTGTTTTGCCATTTATGTAGTTCTAAGGCAGTCTGTGGAGCTGCCTACTTTGATATTCTGAAAGATCATTTGATGTTTCCCCATTGCACTTCCAGATAATCTGAAGCAGAATAAGAAAGATGAAGAAAACTTTTAATAGATTTCTTTTCCTTTTGATTCGGATTCAATAACCCAGAACCCAAATCATAGACTCATCTGAGCACCAGATTCTTTCTTCACCTCTGCACTTGCCATCAGTGAGGCTGCTCTCTGTTGAGCTTCCAACATGTGTGATTTAGATAGTCATAAAACATATGTTCATTAAAAAAATGAAAGTGACTTGTAGGAATTATTAACAGAGATCTCAACATTGGACTGTCTTGATGTTGTGCTTTTTGTCTGGGCGAGTAGATGTGCTTCTGGAAGAACAGACCCAAGAAACAGGATTTTTCAAGAGGAAAGACTGGAGGAAAAAAAAGTACTACACGAGGTATATCCATGATTTCCAGAACAATTAAAGCGTCTTAGGGAATGTCAGCACACAGAACTCAATTATGGTTGGAGTGAAGGAAGGATGGCTGGTCCCCATGGGATAATATGGTATGTCCACCAAGTCAGGAGAAGAGATGGCTTCTGTCTAGTCCCAAGGAAACTGACCTCCTAATGGGGCCTTGTTAAGCCTGTTAAGTATTTAGTGCCACTGCTGCCTTGGTACCTCTTGTGCCAGGTAGAATTAACCTGCAGAAAAACCTGACATGAAGTGAGAACCAAACGACTAAATCTTGTCCTTGGAGCAGGAGTCATATTAACTTTTATACACCCATCCCATCATCCTAAATGATCACAAAACTGTCAAATAACAAAAAATCAAGCCCTACCATCCACTTGCACCATAATCCTGGCTCAGCAGAAGGCCTCTGTACACAGCCCTGAGGACACCACCATGGAACAAAGCTCTACCCCCCAGCACAACCATGAAAGGCTTTGAGCTCAGCCTCTGAAACTGCAAAGCGCTTGTTTTGTTGTCCGTGGATAATGCTTTAATCCACCGGGTGAAAGCTGGACGTTGCTCTCTTTCATTCTGGGCGTATGCAATTTCAATGCTTGAAAAGAAAAGCCACTCACCCTCCCATGCCCGCTGCTCCTCCGAACTGCTGACGCCTGGATAGGCAGCTCCAAGGCGGGGCCTTTGGGATTTATTTAGTTCACCGCTGCAGACTATGCCTTTAGTGCCACAAACCGCCCTGGAGACAAGTCCTAATCATCTGGGGGGGGTGATTATGTTCAGTTCTTCCTCCCCAAACCCCCCAGACACAATTCAGACCCAAACTGGAGAGACAGGCAGGCACACAAGAGGGGAACCCGGCACCGCGCAGCCCCTCCAAAGCCATGTACAGGAGCAGCTTCCTCCGCGAGGTGCGCAAAGAGAAGTACGAGCGATCGGACGCCTACGATGAGCTGCGAGGCTCCCCTGAATTTGATAGTTTGGCCCAAGCCCGGGGCCTGGAGAACCTGCAGGAACTCAACGAGCGCTTCGCCAGCTACATCAACCGGGCGCGTGTGCTGGAGCAGCGCAACACCATCCTGCGTAAGCAGCTGGAGACCTTCCAGCGCATGGATGAGCTGGTGGGCCTGGATGAAGCATTTGCCGGGCAGATCGAGTTCAACCGGCAGCGGATGCGGGAGCTGGCCTCAGACAGAGCCAAGCTGGAGCGGGAGGAGAAGGATGCCCAGCGCATGCTCGATGAGTATCGCAACAAGTAAGGCTTGGGATGGGTGGAAGGTGGGTGGTGTCGTTTCTGTGGCTACTCTTTGTGATAAGGATGGTTTTGGTGTCACTGGGCTGCTGCTTGTGTACGTGTGATGCCTCTCCATGTGTATCAGGCTTGTAGATAGGGATGTTATAAGGGTCAAATGCACCCAGGTACCCCTAAAGTACCAGGTAGCTGAAGGATAGAGGAGAATTTATTTCTAAAGTCGAGAACACTTAAGATCTCAGCACAAATCTGCACTGAGCCTAAGAAAGAGACACCCACTTGTTGTTCTCAGGGCTTTTATGATCCCTGACCCCCCTGCTGTGGAGCCTTCAGACATGTCTGCAAGAGCTTCTCTTTTCTGGTACCAGGGAGTCAGCTCCACTGGAATGCAGGAGGAGAAAACATCTACAACTGTCTCTGGGAAGGATGCCTTTTTCCAGGCGGGAAATCCTCCTTAAGTGAAAAACCCTAATCTCCTCGCAGTAAAATCTTCAGAAGGGTCTTTTACACTTACAGATGCCATGGTGAAAAGTAAGGTGTCAAGGAGCTCCAGTTTTGCATTTCATGGTCCGTCTGCTACTAGAGGGGCAATTGCCCTCTCCATTCCACAGCAGCAGGTCCTCACCGTGACACACATTGGTTGCTATCGTTCATTAGTTTTAGGAGCATTTTGTTCTTAACTGCAAAGAGGAAATAACCCAGTTGAAAAACAGATGTCTCAAAGCAAGTCTTGTGTGTGAGCAGCAAGTCTTGTGTGTGAGCAGCACAGAGCTGCATGACCCCAAACACCTCCTGAAATGTGCAGAATCTGTCTGAGAAACTCTTATTTACAGGGGTTGTGAGGTACCTGGGCCTGGCTGTGCCAACCACTACAGATGTGAGATGAAAAGAACGTAGATACATTTCTTTTCTTGGTATGTTGAAATTTGCCGTCCTCTTCTTCCTTGCATCCTTCATTGCCACATCATGCCACTAGAGCAATAGCTGTAAGAATAGGCTTCCCCTAATTCCACCTTTTTAACTTCAGTGGCACCATAAATCAAAGAGCAGGAGCATCAAGGGCTGGGGCAGATGAATGACTTCAGACACCTCTAGCCCCTTCCCTTCAGCAACGGGCAGTTTTGGCCAAATACTTGATTAATTATGTGAGAGTTGGTGAGAATTGCTCATAAAAGGGCTGCTTACAGGAGAGAAGGGTCTAATCCTCTTGTTACTTATTAGTCAATGTTTCTTTTTACCCCCAAAATGTCTATCTGGCTAATTCACCCTTGAAAATTTGGCACCCAATTCAGCATGCTGCCATGTGAACTGGTCGTGGGGGCTGTGAGCTACAGCACAACTATAGAAATACCAAGCCCTGATCTCACTTTCTCTCTTGACAGCAGAGAATAGCCCATCCATGTGCACTCAACCTTATTGCTGCCAATGGTCAGATGTCCATGATGCCTTGACTCAGTGCCAGCAAGTAATAAGCACCTAATTAGGCAGCTTTGTATTTCAATATTTATGAGCAGTAAATTCAGCTATGAGCCAATGCTATAATTTAGCTGTCAACTCTGGTACTTGCTCATATGTTTTTATTATATTGTGTCCATGAGATTTTGACTAAACTTGGTACTTAAGTGTCTATCTGCATATTAGTTAAAAATCTGTGCAAACTGTGCAGGATTAGTGATGTGACACAAAGCTAATTTAGTTTTATTAGAGCTGCTTTATGTAAGCTGTACATAGATGGGGAAGAATACAGGTCATTGAAAGGGTGGGAAACACCCACAGGGTGGGAAACACACACGGAAGGGGCTGTGCTTTAAAAAGTAATATTTAGGACCTGCTACAGGGGTAGTTAATGACTTCCTAGGGAAAATGGAGAATGTTTTGTCCGTCCCATATCCTGGAATATTCACTCAGCAGCTGTAAACAAAGTAAAACTTTTAAACATAAAAATGAAACTTTGACCATATCTAACCCAAAAATTGCAAAGATACATAAGGCCATTACAATGGAAGGGCAGTGGCTGCTTTTTGAACAAATTGCCTTCAGTTTATACCAAGAAGAGAATTTTGGGTTTATTTTTTCCTCTTGGGAGCTGCTGAATTTGACTGGAAGACAGACATGAAAGTTTCTTCAGCATCTGACAAAAACTGATTGGGTTTTGAGTTTCAGGTGTTAAAACAAGGCCAGTGCTCTACCATCCTGATGGCTCCGATTTCAGCTACTGACAGTTATAAATAAAGCTCTCTAAACAAAATATGGGAGGAAAAATTCTCTGTGCCATATTAGGATCTACCGAAACCAGAAGCATGCATTCCTGTGCTGAAGACCTACCCTCCTCCCTGAGTCTGTGCTCAGTCATCAACAGGCACTATGGGTTTCTTGCTTCATTTTGAACCATAAAGCATCTACTTTTGGCACACTGGGATTAACAATATCTCTTAGAGTGGAGCATTGTGATTCAATTAATTGACAAATGTCTGTGTCCTTCACTATTGCAAAGAATTTTACCTCTTGCAACCCATTCTTTCACTCACCTTTGCAATCTGGGAAATAGATTTGTAGACATAAGTAAACCTCTTAAAGCTACATTTTTATAGATAGACCTTTTAAAGCTGCATTTATATAAATAGGCTTTTTAAAGCTACATTTAAACACAGCAGGATCTGAGACTACTGGGTCTGTACAATTAAATGTGAATGAACCATTAAAAAGTAGACCTTACGTTAAAATTTATTTTTAAATTCTCTGTAGTCACATTCATAGCTTTTCACATTAACATGAATAATTCAGATTCCGTATTGGGGAGAATTTTTTTTCTTGAAATTGCAAAAAAAAGCATTGCTAGTAGTTGTTTCATAAAGTCTAATTATGCTAATTTTATTGACCATCATTGTTATAGCAACATTGCATCTGGCTGTGGGAAAGAAGTGTATTTCTCTCTCCATGATAGTAGGAAAGATGCTGAAATCCAGGTTTTAGTGGCCTTGACAGAGCAGGATTAATTAACTTCAGAAATTAAAAGTCTTCCTAATCAATTTTTTAATTTAAAAATTTATTCACTGCTAATCTAGTGGTTTTGCACATGCAGTATGATTCCCTGGAAGCTGCTAGCCATGGAAATTGGCACTGTGTTCTCCAAGCTGTACTGCGTGAGGATGCTCTGATGAGCCTGACACCCTGTGTGGCCAAAGTAGAAACCCAGCACTTGTGATAGAAAACAAAAAAAAAAAAGAAGCAGGAAAACATGATATCTGGGATATGGGGACTCCACTGGCAAAGCTGCCTTCCAACCCTGTCTGCAAGGATTGTCTCTGCACTGCTGCTGCTTCTCTGATGATAGGAAGGACTTTATCCTGCTGCATCTGAAGTGAGGAGGTTCTGTCTGCCCTCCGCCCCCTCCTTGGACCACTGCAAGCTTGCCCTGTGGCTGTCAGCCACTCCGTAGTGTCTTCTTGATAACACAGGTAGCAACCCGCTCATACAACAGCAGAGCACAGCCCTCATAGGGCTCATCTGAGCCTTCAGGGTATGAACCACAAACACTATTGGCCAGTCCCTCATCCTGGTGGGACCAGTGTTTTGTAGTCTGTGCTCTCTTTGGCACTTAAATTGCTGCTGTCTCTGTTGAGAGAAGGTTAGTGAAGTGCTCAGGGCAAGGAAAAAGGAGAGAAATAGTAGCCAAGAGGCTTCATATATTGTTGGAAGATTTTGGTAGGGTTCAACAGAGAAACACCATATAAAAGGCTCAGGTTTGACACCAAATTGGTTATCTGGCCATTGAGCACTGCTTGGATGGATTGTGACTGTTTTCTCTTTGGAGAGGAGCAAGCCCTTGCGCTGCAGTAGAGGCAAGGTCCAAAAACAGAGGTGACAGAAAACTTTAATCCTCTCATTTGCTTGCTTTCAGTTCGGCAGCCCCCTCTACTCCATTTCTTTCCCCTTATGCAAAAAAATTAACATCCCTTTTTTTTTATAAACAGTCCAAAAAGGTTTGTTGCAGACCTAAAGCTACTTGACTAGGTGAGAGGTTTAGTGTTTGTTTGTTTGTTTGTCTGTTTGTTTTTGTAATGAAGCAAATCAACTTCATGCCTCTTAAGCTCCAGGAAAGTCTGACCAGCAACCATCTAAAAAAAACTCTTTTCAGCAAGTCCAACCAATTACTTGAACACTGAAATTAGCTTTGAAGCATAACAGGGTTGTAATTTGTCAGCAATTACACTTACACAGATATGTTTCAGTAGGCACATAAGTGTCCTGAGGTCTCTGAAGCATTTCAAAGAGGTCCTTAACCCTTTTGCACTGAGTAGCTTCTGGAGTAGACTGAACATCACTTAAAAGCTATTCTCCTTCAAAGGATAATCACTCAATACTAACTCTCTCAAGACTGCCAGGTGGACTTATGGCTGTGTGCCACAGCAGGTATTTTGGTTATTTGAGAGTGAAGGAAAATGTAGCTGAATACTTTAGTTATTGAAAGAATTTCTGGGTGACAGAATTCTGAATTCTGATCTAGCAATGAGGCAGATCTGAGCAGGTTTGAATGACATTAGGGCTGACATTTAGACACTGACTCCATCAGATGGTTGTATATTACTGGGAGTGTAAAACCAGCCTTTTTTTGTAGCTGTGTATTTGATTTTCACAAGCTACCACAATCTGCTTCCTCCTTACTTGGTTGTCAGAAAGTATCTAAGTTAGTGAAGTGTTTACTGTCAGTTGCACACAAAAATTTTATGAGATAGATAGAAAACTGGTTGGAGATGAGCTACTTGTCAAACAACAGAAACAAAGGCAGTCTCACTGCATATTCTTGTTGTATCCTGGGAAGTGAACCTGGTGTTAATACTATTTGGCAAAAAAAGACATTGTTTTAGATTTATCAGCAATTTGTAGGAGTGATAATGAAATGAAACCTCAGCATTTTCACATGTTTCTTTGCTGCTCATGTTAAGAATTGAAAACAGACCAGCACCCCACGCTAATATTATGGGATTTCAGAAGAAGGGAAAGTTGGGAAACCAAAGCACCAAGTCTATTTCTTTGTTCTACCAAGTTCTTCCTTTGTGGTCCTAGTCAGTTCATGAGTGACGTCATCCTTTCAGCTTTCCAATACATGTTGAAAGAGGTGACGATAACATTGGTTTTTCAACCTTTGGGAGACAAAAAGAACCAAGGTTGACGCCATCATTTAAATTTGATCCTTGCTGTGTTCAGTCTAGGACCTGTCAAGTTCCCTATTGACAGGAGCAAATCCTTTAGATACCAACAGCACATCTGGGCCAAATCAATGATTTCGGAAGAGAGACAACGGCTTATGTTCAATTCTGAATTTCAGCCATGGTTCACACTTGTGTTGATGACCACTGCTTGTACTGCAAATGAGTGAGAGTCACCACCAAAGGTCACTTGTCACCCACCATGAGGGTTTCTGGTAGCAAGCAAGAAAATGACAGCTTTTTATAACTCTGTATCTCTATTGTTTTAGGGAAAGTAAAGGAATAAACAGGAATAGACTATTTCTGTACTTTGTCAGTGGCAGTCGTTGGAGTTTGATGAGACACTTGTTCAGTACTGATGGCAAAGTCACATTGCCTTGTACTATAAAGATGCTTCTGGGTGATTATGTCTTATTTTGTTGTTGTTGTGTTTTTAATGGTGTAGGGGTTTTTTGTTTGGTTTGGCCTTTTTTTTAATGGAATCTCATTAAACCACATTTATTACTAAACATTTTATATGCAGATTATTTAGGAAAGGAACAAACAACAATAATCAACAATTAGGAAGATTTGTACTCTGGGACCAAAAGGACTTACTAAAAGATGATTCTATCTAACATACAAAGGTAGAACCCTAATTCTTAAGGAGTATGTACTGTTTCCTCAAACCAAAGATAAACACAATATACATCCAAGGTTCACTCAGCACAGGAACATGCACTTGTGGACATTTTGTAAATGCTTAAGAATACAGGATAAATGCTGTCCTTACTAAGGCTCACATTTGATTTTGACTAAACTAAAATACAAATTGTCATTAAAGAGGACACAAAGCTTGATGCATCAAAGCATCCTAATGCAACATTATTCATACAGAGTCAACATATGAAATTGCAGCCTTTGTGTTTAATGTGTCTGTCATGAAAATGCTTATTGAACTACAGCAGGTAGGACAGAAAACCAGAGACAATGTAATGAAATGCTAATGTGCCAGTGTAGCAAATCCTCACGTAGTAACCACTGATGAATGGCTGTTACTGTAGACAATGCCAATGGAATATACTTTTATTGTAAATAATCTGTTCTTGGGAGTTCCATAAAAAAGTGATAGCAAATGTGTGACATTTCATTGTATTCTGTAATGTAAATAGAAGACAAGCAGTTAATCAGTTCTGAAATGAGTCTCAGCATTCAGGACTAAAAAACAATTAATGCTAATGTATAAATAAATCTTTTGGGTCTCTTCAAGGTTCATATCCTCCTTTAGTGAGAAGCATATCTTGTGCATGACAGTGCAGATGAAAATGCAGTTCACGGAAGGATGAACCACTGACCTTTATCTCCTTTTCTCTATTTGCAGGTATAGAAATGAACGTGAATATCAGCAGAGGCTAAAAGAAACCCTTGAGCGCCTTAATAAGGTAAACCTGAGAAAATGGCAAGGGAAAGGTCTCTATAATTTTTTTTCCTGTGGCTGCATTTACTACAGCAAGCTGCTTTCAAGAAGCAGTGGGAAGATAAAATGTCAGAGCAAGACATTTCTTGTCATTATACCCTGATGAAAAGTTCTCCTTCCCCTTCATCCCCCTCCCCAGGCCTTGTGCAAGTGTCAGAACCTCGATGTGTGTGTAGGCACTGTGTAATCCTTACTTTGCACAGTCCTGCTGATTTTGGTCCTGTAGCATGTGCTGCCCACAGACTCAGCTGTGCTCAGGACTTTATTAATTTTTCAGTGAGACCGAAGACTGGGAGGATCTACTGTTTAACACTCCTTTTAGAGCATCAGCAACTGGCCCTTGCACTCATTTCAGGACCTGTAGCTGACATAAGTGTCACAAATTCACCTTTGCTGAAGATCTGGAATATTTTTAGGTGTATTTAATAACTCTTCTTAATTCTTTTAACATGCTTTCACTTGGAAAATAATCTCTCTGAATGAACACAGGTAGGAAAAGTCCATTTATTAGTCATACTGTGCAGCCAATACACATATCTGAGAGTCCAAAATGTGACTGGAGAAAATGTGTTTGTTGCTGAAAACCTTTTAAAATTCAGCTGCTGTATTAAAATACTTTTAGTACTGATATCATGGCGTGAAAAATTGCTGATTGAGTCCAGGTTTTGAAATCTGGTGTGTCTCAAAGCTCCTCAGTTCCTTGCAGGATATGATCAGCCCTTCCTCAGACAGATCCTCAGCTTCCCCTTAGGTAAAAGCTGTACTTTCTTGAACTAATACCATGGAAAAGAAATAATAGTAATAACAATAACATCATATAATTAAATATAATAATAATGATGCTCAGAGAAAAGATAAAAGTTGACTAACTTCTTTTGGAAGTTTCCAGACCAGGTCTGTGAAACTGAGAAAGCCCGATTCATCCTCTCTTGTTGCTAGCTGTCATCTGAGTGAAGAAAGTAGTATTATGTCTTTTCCCAGTTCTATTTTTCACAGATTACCTTTCATTTTCTGTATTGGGAAACAATTACAAGTGGATTAAATAGAGATTATTATTTTATTTCCTCACTACAAATGGCAGGAGCTGTTCTGTTTGAGCACTGTCATATCAATGATATGCATGTTTTATATTAAAAAAAGACAAAGTGCATTTTAGTATTTCTATCTACAGTGAGCTCTAGACATCCTAATGTCCAATAGAATTGGTGCTATTTTCCAGTGTACTAACAGGGCTCTTGGAAACCCGGCAAGCCCTTAAAAGTATTCGTGGAGGCAAATCCTTTGTAAAGGGTTGGTGTAGCTGATAGGTCTTCACAGTTCCTTTCAGCTAATCTGTGGCTAAAGAAAAGTGAATTGATTTAAGTCCCAGGCACAGCTTAAAAAGTCTTGAGAAATGGTGAGGGGGGGTTCTATCCTAGGATTTTCCTGGGCTGCCCCTGTTGCAACAACTCCTTGCACTGGAGCACCAAGTAGTGGTGGTTTTCTGTAGAGTGCCCAAGATGTAGCCTGAAATATGCATGTGCAGGTGTAAACCTATGCTTTATCCAACAGATGGAGAATCAGGTCGGAAAAATAGCAAACACTCGTTCTGGAGAGATCCAAGGGATTTCTCTGCCATGATAAATTAAAATGCTGCTTCAGCACATGGATCGGTGTTCTGGAATCAACACCTAAAGCAGAATGGTTTTTCAGAAGTCGAGTGAATAGCAAACTGCAAAATTCAGAAGAAAACCTGTAGCCGCTGCACTATTCTGATATGCAGCTTCATCAGTGATGCTGGGCTCTCTGAAAGTACAGAATAAGAGAAAAAATATTTTTCCCTTTTAAAGTGCCTTTTGTTTATCACATGCAGAAATATTTGCTTACCGGTATCATCTGGGGGCTTTTATTGGCTCCCCCCCAAACCTCCCAGTATGGTCATTGTCCTGCTGATCTGCCTCTCAATAGGAAGGCAGAGGAGTGCAGAAAAGCATCGGGCATTCCTGATGGCTGGCTCCAAATGTGCTGGGCTGGATGTGTCTGAATCAGCCACTGGCTCACAAAGCAGAGCCGGCTGGAGAGTTCTCTGCCCGGGAGGCTCAGCAGCACAATGGGACAGCTAACATCCACACATTTTTGGAATTGCTCGTGCTGTGCACGCGCAAAAAAGAAAAATCCCCTGCTACCAGTCATATGCTGCACTCACAGATCTCAGTGGTTTACTTGCAACCCCTGATCCTCTTGCTAGGATATTTTTACAGCTAGTAATGGCACATAGGTAATTTGAAACACACCTTTAAATTATTTTTCTATTATTATTATTGTTTTTTCCACTTTGAGTTAAATGCGGAAATCGAGATTTTCTTGAAGCAAATTGCAAACTGGTTGAGGAACTTAAAAGTTTTGTGGAGTTGCAGGGAAGATCCAGCTGACAACTTTTACGATACTTCCTCAAAAGTGATATTTACAATCTTAGCTCATGATAAACCTAACCAAGAATTCATGCATTAAGTAGGAAAATAAAGCTTATTATTCACACTTACATATTTGTAAAATATATTGCCAAGTATCATGGAATACTCTGTATTCAAGGATTTGTATTAAATAACATGACAGGAAAAATCTAAATTAGGCCTTTAAACAGAAATGGAGATGTCACTGGGTTTAAATACCAGTGCCAGTCATCTCTGAGATTGTGATTGGTAGTTATACAGCTTGTGCTCTGAATTAATTAGATATTATGAACTTTTGTCCTTGCAAATCCCAATGTATTAGAAACTTCTGCAGCAAGATGATTCTTTTCTAGACCTGGTCATCTGTCATTTTTATTTCCAGAAACGGCTCCAAATTTGTGTATTTGTGGCATTTGACAACACACCAAACAGAGTGCAAATACTTTGGACCATCATGGGTTTTTATAAGGATTTATTTACTGGGAATATTAAAAAGGCATCAAGATACCTCAGATCTTGTCATAAATACTAGAGGAATCAATGCCTTAGTCTGCTGATGTCATTTGTTTAGCACTCATGCACCATTCCAAGCTTTTAACATCAAACTGGTATTTCATAGAGTCTACCACTTGGCTTCCAGCATTCATAAAAGCATATGGTAAACATATTTTGACAGTGCCAGCGCCAAACTGTATCATTAATCATATTTGTGCAGAACATGGTGAATAAGATGCCTCTTTGTTGCTGTTTTCATGACACTACTATCTCCCAGTAGGTTTCAGTATTCCATACAGACAGATGGCTTGCATTATGCCTATGTGGCTGCTGTGATTTTGGCACTCCAGCCACATGTGCTGACCATGACACATGTCTCTGCATTGTAGGAAGCTGATGAAGCACTGCTGTGCAACCTGGAGCTGCAGATAGAGTCCCAGTTCCTGCAGGATGATATTAATGCCACAAAGGACAGATATAAGAAGGTAACTGGCTGAATTTGCCATCTTCCTTCACTCTTCCTTCTAGAGATAGATGTGAAGCCTTGCCTTTCTCTGGGATCAAATGGTGGCAAAATTAAAGCAAATCCTAGTTGTGTTTTGGTGGGTACATGTAGAACCTTTTATTTTTGGTGGGCACAACAGCTGGATGGTTGCCAGTATCCAAACAAACTCCCTCAGGGTCCAGTGCCCACAGCTGCAGCAATGTCTTGAATTTGTTGACCTGTTATTATGGTTCAACCCAAAGTGCTGGACAAGCTGTCTTATATTTCACACTAAGAAAGCTGTTGCTTTCATCACCCAATTTTCTGGGCGAGAGCATCCCAGTTAATCAACAGGCATAAGCCTGTGGCTGTATGATTCCAGTGCAGCCTCCTTTTCCTGGGAATGCTGTGAGGCTTGAGATCAGGCCACTGTCCCATCTTTGCTGCTTTTGAAAGAAGAGACTCACTTTTTCAGACCATGTGCAAAGGTATTTGTGATTCTCATTTTGAAAATCTCCTGTGAAATCAGAACTCGTGGAATCTTTAAAAAGACTACGAACTGTATAGTCACTTAGCTAAAATGCCAGTAATGTATCCTCAGCATGATGAAACTGTTAGCACTCATGCCCTCAAAATCTGGTCTAAAATCATGCTGCAAAATCAGATCTGAACATGAATGGGACCTTTATATGCTGAAAGAAGTAAATATCTAGAAATAATCCCTAGAAGGGGAGTACCTTACTGTGGCATTTTCTGATGAAAATGGTTTTTACTTCACCACAGAATCTCATGGAAATCCAGACCTATGTCAATGTTTTGCAGCAGATCATCCAGACAACCCCTCGTGTGTCCCCCATAACCACTGGCATATGTGAGGCAAGTATTGCAGTTTGTAAATACTAATCAGAGTAAGAAAGAGATGAAGTTTACTCCTAAAGTGTCCTAGATCCTTTAACTCCCATTCCAAGGTTAAGTGAAAACTGTCACAACTATGCGTAAGTACTGAAGATGAGAGAAAAAAATTACCTGTAGCTTTGAAAAACTCTATCGATCAGGAAAGAGAGATTCCATTTGGTCAGGTGCACTCCAGCATATGTATTAGCCCGAAAAAGTGCAGTTCTAAGGCAGTTGATGTAGTTGTACTTCCTCTCTGAGGAGGAGCTGCAGGATGAATGAATATTTGCAGAGAAAGTAAATCTTGCCCTGAAGGGGTGAGAGGTGGTGAAAACTTGTAAATCAAATAAATTGATATACAGACTAGATGAAAACTTGGTGATTCACACCAATATGACTGGCTATGCCAAGAACACGTATTAGTTGGAAGAAAGTGTTAAGAGCTGTATCTACAGAGTCTAATTTCAATGTAAGCTGTACTGTTACAGCCCTACCATGTGACATCTTTATTCTTAAATCCGTGCCACAGAAGTTGACTTGAGGTTCAATACCCATCTTTTTATCTATCTTTTGTAATTTTCTGTTTGTCTTTACAGTTTATTTCCAGTAGTGGAATTTCTTTTGGCTCTTTTTAAAAGAGTGAAACATACTTTCCTGTACACACGTTATTTTCTTCCAACCAGGAAAAAGTGGTAGCAGAGAGGAGGATCCCTGTTCTGCAGAGCCAGCTGGAGGAATACAAGAGCATCCTCTGCCAGCTACAGGCGCAGAAATACAAGCTGCAGACAGAGGTACTGCCATCACTGACTATAAACACAACCATGAGGCTCATGAACTGTTCTTTTTATGGTCACATGGTAAAGTCTGAGTGGCCTCTAACAGGGTCTTGTGAACTCGGTTGACCTGGAGGTGTGTTTTCCTTTCAGATTTCCATATATTCCTTCAGCTGTTTCATTCTCATTCTCTCAGTGGTCCAAACTGTCAAGTTTAAGATGGCCAGGGAGGGCTGTAGGGTAGCATAGGTGCAATGAAGCTGTCTTTGGTTATCAGAGTTGCTTGTGAGAGAATGTCTCTCCAGTGCAACTGACTTCCTGTAGGACAGAGCCAGCAGGAAGTGTGGATGGAAAAGTCCCAAGGGCTCTAGTGACTCTCTCGCTTGCTGAACTCTGGCTGGAAATTGGCTCCATAAATCCGTGGGGGATCTTCAAGGCTCTGCCCAATCCTTTCTATCACTGCTACATCCAACGATAAACTTGCTCTGAGAGGACTGGACAGATTTGGTAATCAAAACTGATATAGTTGTTGAGCTACATTTGGCATTCTGCATTTATCCCTGTCACTCTAAGCACTAAGAAAGGATCTGCACCTCTCCTGTGCTTGGACCATAATCATCTCCTTTTTGCCAGTTCCTGACTTGCAGAAAATATCTGGCCAAGACTTTGACTAGTTGTCCATCCGGGTGAGAGGAGTGAAATACTGGCATAAAACATCTTTTTTTGTGGGATTTTGGACTCCTTTGGACAGCCATAGCAGCAGCTCCTAACTTCCTGAGCATAACTTCTTTCCTTAGAGTTGGTGTGGACAGTGCTACCCCCAGGTCTTTTCCTTGGTCTCTTCCTCATGTCTGATGCTCTGGTGGAGAGGTCACATGTGCTCTGGGATAGGCAAGAATCAATATAGAGATAAGTGAGATTATGAATCAATATAGAAAAAAAACAGGAGAAAATCATCCTTCTGGCACCCTTTGGGGAATTAATCGTCCAGCTTTCAAAATCAAATCATCACCTTCTGTTTAGAAAGAGTTTATTAACTGATTCATTCTTGTGCCCTGAGATTAAAAGAGTGAAATACCTTTATGAGTGGAGGTCAGTGACAGGGTTGCTTGTCCCTGAAGGCTGGTGAAGGCTGGATCTGATGACTGAGATGTCATCAAGGTCCTTTGCTTTCCTCTTTCTGGACCTGAGAGCTGTGTTGCTGAGTGGTTGTGGACCCCACCTTGTGAGCACTGAACAGTAAAGGGTCTTTGTCCACTCGTACTCTGCAATAGAACAAAACTAATGCCAAGGGACCTAGCTCCTAAATTTAGGCTCTTAAAAGGATTTTAAAAACCTTTACCTGAAACATACAGAAATAAATCTGTTATTAAAGAACCCATTAGTCACTTATTGCCCCATTAACTTTTTGTGAGTACACCTCTTTAAAAGCTCTTTGAAATGGGGGGGGGGGCAAAAGTGATAAAAGAACTATAATAAATAGCTGAAAATAGCAGAAGAAAGTGAGAGCAGAATTTCAACGTGAAATATCCCACCTGTAAATCGTACTCCTTGATTTTGGAAGGTGCCTATCGCCACCTCCTGGCTGATGTGCTCGTTGGTTTTATCGGCAAAGTAAAAAAGCTGGGGAACTGAATTCAAAACGAGAGCTCTTCATTTAAAATAAGACCTTTGCTCTTATTTGCTTGGTCTGCGGACCACAGTGAAGGAAGAACAGGTTTTTCCTTGGAATATCTTCCCGGCTAAGCACTTTTGCTGTCCCCGTAAGACACTGCCTGCTCTGCCGAGGAAGGGCACGGGGAACTGCAGGTCACCCAGTGAGGCATCAGCCAGCCTCGTATGCAATGAGGAGGAAGACATCACACAGCTATTCTCTAGTCCATGCTGATCTCATCATGCTTATTGTGGAACAGAAACCTTGGGACAGAAAAGGAGGCAGCAGGAGGAGGTCTTGGTTTTGAGTCACTGAACAAATGTAGTGAAATTGCTGCTGTGTTTCAGCAGTGCAGCATCACATTGTAATAAAACATGACTTGCCTTTAATTACGCTTAAAGTATGGGGATGGTGAATGTTTCAAAGCTGCTTCTTTCACCCACCAATTTTATTCACCAGACAACCATGCTGGAGCAAGCAATTAAAAACACCCAGGAGAGTTATGATGATGAAATTCAGCTTTACAATGAGCAGATTGAAAACCTTAGGAAGGGAATAGAGGAGGCTGAGAGGATCTTGGAGAAGTACACGACCGACTGCCGCCAGCTGGTGATCTACCAGCAGTCCCTGGAGAACGAGCTGGAGCGGTACAAGCGGATCATCGAGAACGAGGACAGCCGGTAAGGCTGGATTTCTGAACACTCCCAAAGGGGCCAGTGATCTCTTTTATCTCTTTTGAAAAGTGTATGTTTAAGGACATGTGATCCACCCAAAGCTATGGCCTTTCCACACCCTTGACTGGTAGATGTCCGGGGAGAGAAATCTAAATAGATGCAAAATCTCATCAGCTTCTTCCAAGGAAATGGTCAGAGACATTTGGAGCTTCTCTTGTCTATTCAGTCTGCTTTCCACATGCTGTCCTGGCATCAGTGCCCAGAGGTCAGGAGCACACAAAAGCAATTTGAACACCCTCTACCCAGCCCAAGTGTTGGTGACACTTGCTGGGTGTTACAGGCATGTTGATTCTGGAGGGTGCAGACAGGGCAAATATCCTGTAAAGCAAAGCACCCTTTCACAGCGAAGCCATTCGTCAGGCAAAGGGTAAAAAGGGGAGAATACGAGAAATTGGCTGGGATTTGGGTTGTGTTTAAACCTATGGATGAGCTCTGCCTCCCTCTAATGCCAACCATCAGCTGCACATGAGAAAAGGAGATGGGTTTTCAGGAGCAGAGCCAGACCCCTGAGCACCCAAACTGCTGCTTCAGGTTGTCCTGAAGATGCAGGGGAGGGACACTGACTAATTTCATCCATTTTCAGGGTCTCATTTTGGACACTGAGTTCTGGATAGAAGTATCTCAACAGGGTAATTCTAAGCACCAAAAATCAAAATGGGTATCTCTTGCATATCGACACAGGTGTATATCCTCCGATAGGCCGAAATATCTCAAATTCTGGCAGAGCAGACAGAAATAGGCCAAAGATATAGTATCTGGTTCGCAATAGGCCAGTCTCTTTGTTTTAATTTTTTAACCCTTAATACTGCTGACTCCTCAAATGTTTTCCAAGGAAGACTACTCCGTTTTTATCTCACCCTTCTTGACTCAGGCATATGCAAGTTGCTTTGTAAGGGCTACCAAATTTTCTATTTTACCAGCCAGCATGGCAAAAATGAATTTATGGCTGATGTCTGGTAGTCTCGGATTGACTGTTTGCACATCTAAAATCTTCCCATCTTTTCAAAATGCCATGCTAAATTACAAAGCTGTTGCTATAGGTTATAATTACTGTTGTACTTTACCTTATGGAGCATCCCCTTTCTCCTCTGGGTGGCCAGCCTCACTCCTCTGAAGGTGCTATGGCTATGTTGATTTTCCCCTGACAAGAAAGAGGCTCCTGTCATTCTTTTTGAATCCTTACCATAGAGAAATATGTCTTTAACCTCTGTACTTCAATTTGCACAATTTCATTTGCTTTCACTGAAAATCAAATTATGGGGAGAGATCTGATCCATGTGTCTCTTCTCCACAGGTTAAATTCTGCTATAGCAGGAACCCCAGTCACACTCTTCACACAGATCTACAGACCTGCCCAGCCCCAAGTTTCGAGGGGAAGAGGTAAACCTGTGATGTCTTCCTGTGTCTGTCACAAGCAGCACCATTGTATTTTAAGTTTCTCCATTTGTCTTCCACATGACCCACCAGCTGTGACAGTCTGACTCCAGGCTTGCTAAGTAAATGCAACCATTTCAGCTTACCTCACCTGGCTTTGGGACAAGCTGTCAAAGGCCAAAACCACAAGCAAAAGTGTTTCTTCGCTAATTTCTGTAATTTACTATTTAGGCCAATCAGGAGAGTAAAGTCAAAAGGCACCTGAAACTATGGAAAGAGCTGCAGGTTTTGTGCTGACTTGTGAACTGTTTGTTTGCACTTTAGTGGTGTGCAAAGAGCACCAAGGTATGTTGAGTGCCACAGGCAGGCAGAGGACCCTTTTCAGGACCTGTTTTCCTTCCATGTTTTATAATGGTTTGTTAGAATTATGATGCTTGTAAACCTGGTGACAAGGAAACAGTCAGGGACTAAACGAGTAAGACTGCTCTTGACAAAGAGAGAACTTGGTTTATAGAAAGGTGCAGTAGGCACTAACGTTTGGTATGACTTAAATCCAAGGCTCACTGGGGTGTTACTAATAACACACTACCTTGAGAATGGAGATAAAACACCAAATGACGGGTTTTTTTTGGAGTGCAGCTGCAATTTTTCTAACCACTGTGTGAACTGTGGCAGTTTTATATGAAATGGGTCCACAATGCCTGAGGCCAAATCCTCATCAGTTGTAGATAACTACCATCCTGCAAAGTGTTGTTTCATACCTGCTAAGGATTTGGCCTGTTTCTAGCAACACCTCTGCTTCTTCCTGCGTGGTAAGCAGGCCATTTCATGTGTTTTACTGTACCTGTGACATGGGACAAAACAGCTGCCTTAGGGAAAGCATGTTAATACCTGTCTGTCCCCATGATACCGTAATTCCCAGCTCTGTGTCCACCAGCTGCTGGCTACTCCCTCCTGACATGCCTCTCAGAATCTGCCAATACCCCAAATTGCCATGAGTGGAGGTGTCTGGCTCACTTTTAGTGTCTCTTAGACACAGAGGCTCTCCACCTGCAGCAGTGAGGGTGAGAGGCAGCTCTAGCATTTGCAGTGACCGTCTTTGAGCACCGTTGTTTGCTTTGTTTTGATTTTTCTCTAGATATCACCCAAGCCATGCAAGACATTGCCAGTGTAAAGCCCAGACAAAAAGCACTGACAAAGAAAATTGCCAGGAAAAAGGAGCTGATGTCAAAAGACAAAACTGACAGTCACTCACCTGAAAGAATGTATGAAAGAACTCTGGAAGGTTTTGACCAAGATCAGATGGAGTACAGACACGAAGGCTCAGTCAGGTGTGAACCTGGGCAGGAAGGTTCAGAATTTGATGAAAAAGAAATGGGCCCAGAGGATGTACCTGACGGAGCCCAGATAAGTAAAGCCTTCGATAAATTGTGTAACATTGTGAGGGAGAAAATAAGAGTCCACAAGAAACCAGAGGCTAAGCCTGAAGCCCCTCCCAAAGGGCGTTATGTGCTGGTGACAGGGGAGGAAGGCTATGAAGAACCATGCATCTTGGCCCCCCTCTATCCCTGCTCCAGGAGGGATCACAGTTTCCACTGGCAACGGGAAGGTGATGAATGATGGGGAGGTGGAGCCCATACTGGAGCTGCCAGAACCTGCCTTAGAAAAAGAGAAAGCAGATATCTGTGAAAGGAGAGAAGAATTTGAAATCCCAGATAAACAGAGAGAGGAAGAGAGAGAAGAGGTGCTTGAATGGGGCAAAAAAACAAGAGGAAAAATCGAGCAAATCACAAAGTATCCGGACATCTCTGAGCCTGAGACAGTTCCTTCCCCTGGTCTGATAAGCCCAACTGAGCCGGGACTCCTTCGAGAGACAGATTATGAACGAGAAGACAAGCAGGGCCTTTTGTTCAGGGAAGCAGCCTTGCCTGGCTCTATGAGCTACGAGAAGGTGGAGGTGGTGGAGTCCATCGAGAAGTTTTCAGATGACAGAATTCAGACATATGAAGAGACAGCGATGATTGTTGAGACAATGATAGAGAAGACAAGCAAGAAGAAACCAGGAGACAAAGGCTCTTAAGTGACACACACCCCCTTGATAGTCAACTTGTCTGGCATAGTTATTATATGACTGTTTGTTTTTTTTTCCTGATCGAATGATACAGTAGTGAGATTTTTGCTGTTTGGTATGGAACAGATTGAAACCTTGATGACAATTCTGTCTGATGTAGGCTCACCTTTGGTGCAATGATCATTAGCACGCTCCAGGGTACATCCTATGCAACTGATTTTCATGATTAGGACACACTGAAAGTAACTATTATGACAGAGCTGCCTGGCTTCCCACAGTATCCGGGACAAATTTGCATATTCCTCTACTGCTCCTATAACCACCATACAATTCCCCATCTCTGAGACAGCTGCAAACGTTAACTTGTGACATCTGGTTCATTTAATAAAAGTTTTGCCTTCTACCGAAGATACCCACTGTGGGTTTGTGTTGCCTTTACCATTGACTGATAGTACCTACTCGTAAACATCACCTGAGGTGTGCAGAAGTTTTCCAGGAGAAGGGCTGGATACCTGTTAAATAATTGCAATTGCAATAATGATTGCAAATCTCTCCCAATTACAGTCTCTAAATAGCAATGACCTTGGCAGACCTTTCTTTTTGGATCTAAAGATGAACTCTCTGTGTTTGAAATAAGCTCTCACTGGAGATCTCAGAATAAAACTTGAAATTCCACTGAAGTGAGAGATTACCCTTATAAAAGCTACTAAAGGCATTATTTGTCCTTCACCAACTCAACTAAGGTATTTGTGGTTGCCAACGAGCTTCGAGTGGACTGCAGCCAAAGACTGTGTGTTTTGATATTTACTTGTAAAGTATTTCCTTGGACTTGTAGAGTTCAATACTGCCACAGGATCCTGTCACAACCCAGTCTCCTGCAGTCCCATGGAGTTCCATAGGATTGCTGGAATAAGCAACACTTGCAAGAGATTCTTAGAGCTTCCAGAAACCTTCAACTCAGGAAAAATACCCCCCTAAACTAAAAAACCAAATCAAAACCAGGGAAAGGAAACCCTTCACTTGTGTGTGTGCAAATACTGAGCTCTACTTAATGTGCTCATGCACCATTTAGGCATCAGCTTGACTCCAGGCACACAAATGATCCCACCAGTACTTACTGAAGTACTTTACTACGTTAGGCTCTACACATTCTTTTCCCATCCCAGTTCTCAAAGTTTTTGTTTCAGCTTTCACCATTTTTGTGCCTTTTCCTTCTGGCTGTTAACTCCTATGAGCTGTGAAGGAAGGGACTAAAAGCCATTTGAGCTGACAAGCCTGAGCTGCAGGATCCTTCTCACAGCACTCAAGACTTTCCTTCAATAGTATGTCGAATTTTTTCATCCAAGGGTTCCAGCACAAGTGTAGCATCCGATCTGCTGTGACTGTTTTCTGTGGTAAAGTGGCACCTTCTTCTTAGAAACAGGGACAGCTGACCCTCACAGTCACAAAGTTATTCAGGATATTTTGTCAGTGCTGTTTTATTGAAATGCTGTGGGCGTTTATGCCAGACATGTCTTACTAGAGTGTGTTGCTTTTCAGTTTAATTTATTAACAGCGTAAATAACCACAGAGAAGAAATTTATCAATGCATATGCAGGCTGTGCTCTGGTGAGCTGGGAGTAACTGCTCAGAATAACTGCTGCTGAAAGCAGGGTTTGACTACAGCAAGGGAAACAAACAAAAAAACCCACCAAAACACCCAAAACAACCAAAAAAACCCCACCTCAACTGCAGCAATAGGCAGTTTGTTTAATCTGCCACAAAACAGGGTGTAAACAAATTTAGGAAGTACTTAGACAGAATTGGATATTCTTCCCCCTCTCCCAGTCCATCTGATTGCACTGCAAAACAGTGGACACAATACTCAGAATACAAAAAAAAAGCCTCAGTCAATGGCAATGAGGCAACAAGTCAGGAGAGTCTGGGCTATGTGTCCAGTGTGTGAATACCCTCACCACCTTCATCTCTTTTGTGTTCTGGTGTCACTGCTCTTTGCTGATGACACAGACCTGGTTTCTGATGCCTGTAACCCTTGCTCAGCAGCTGTGCAATGTAAGAACTGGTCCTAAACTGGGTTTGATGGCACCTGTTGCTGTAGGAGTCACATACTTGCACTGCCTGGCAGCAACCTGAGCTGCAAAACATGAACCAAGATGGTGCTGAGCTGCATCACACACACCAACATCACCAGAGGTCAAGGACCAGGAAGAGCTGAGGGCTAAATTCTGCTACAATCTCTGACCTGCCTTTCACAGATATGGTAGCTGCCCCATAAGGCTGCAGATGATGGGCACCTTTCTGTAGATTTGCATGAAAATTATATGGAAATCCATTAGTAGTTCAGAACTGAACTCTGTTTCAGAATGACCATGCCGAAGGTATAGAATATATATATATACACACACACAATATAGATATACTGTGTATATATATATATGTATGAAATATATATAAAGGTATAGGAAATCTCATGGTTTATGGGCTAACCTCTGCATTAAATGCAGATTCTCAATGAAGCATTTAAATGCTAAAGTCTAATGGTGAAATACTTGTGAGCATCTATTCACCAGAGACTGGGATGAAACTCCGATTATTACAGGCACATTCTTGCCTCTGAGGCACCCAGAGCTAGATCAGGAGGTTTTCTGTAATCATCTATTGCTGCAGACATGGTAAGAAATTATAAAATGAAATGCACCTTCAGCCATATGAGCTGAAAAGTACCCAAAAAGTCTGGGTGGGAGACAGGGAGGAAAACAGGGCTTTTAGTGTGGATCAAAGTGCTCTAAACAGCAGAGGAAGAAAAAAAAAATCAACTTGCAGTAGCATTTCTTTAGGGCCAGAGTTGCTTATGGACTGCAGTGCAAAACTGTCACTGTTTCTATTCCCGAGCATCCTCTTCCCAAACATGTTCAGCACCTGCACTGCTGCTGCCTCTGCAGAGCTGCCCTTGGAGCTAACCGGTTTGAACCACTAACACCCACAGCTCTTCCCAGCCTGCAACCTGAATCTTCTATGTCCTAGATTATCACAGAGTTAACATAAAGCTCCTTACTCTTCACTTGTTGCTATCAACTCTTTTGGAGGATCATTTTTATTTTCTCTGTATTTTTTATCAGTGTAAAAAGCAGAGGAGGAGGAAGTCATCCCACTTAAAACAGCATTATCTCCCATGTACCTTCAGATAGGAAACGATGATAGGACCTGCCAGTTTACAACAGCTCTTTATTTTACTCATATTATAAAACATCATCACTTTAAACAATGTTCACCTATTTCGCATCATGAGCTTTATTTTCTCCTTTATTATAAATACTAACAAATTAACTTTATTTTTCATCAGCAATACCGTAAAAACCCAGTCTAACTGGACATATTTTTCAGTGATCCCCTGAAGCAAAAATCCTGAAGAATTTGAAGTAGATCTCTGTATTGTATATACACATAGTTTTTTATATATACTTATATCAAAACTCACCATTATCATGATCTTTCACTTAATAAATTATGTCAGCATTATGAAAATATGAACAACCATCTAGTTATTTTGCTGCTTTATAAGATATTTAATAATTGAACAGAGAACTGCAAAATTACATTAATGCAATGGAAAGTCAGGTACATGTTCATTTAAGAATACCACATGGACTTTTCTTATTCCAAAACTTTTTCCACATTTTAGAAGTCCTTAAAAAGCTTCCAGTAACCTCTTTCTTTGATCACATACACACAAAATGTTGTGATGTGTATATATGTATTATACATTACATACCATATGTAATTCTATATTTATTTTTAAGCAAATATATGTAACATACTCTGAATATACATATTGTATGTAATATATATATATATATACAGAGAGAGAGAGATGCCACAGGTGTGTCATATGCGTTTAGTCATACAGGTGTATGCATAAATATACATATTTATATGGTAAATTCTTCCTTTGGGACTTTTGCACACAATGAGGAATCTGTGAGTAGTGCAAGGCTCCTTGGCTTGCCTTTAGAGTGTAATTCACAGAGACTTTTAGTAGGTTGAGCTGTTTATTTTTCATTTGGATTTGTAAAGAACAGACCTCTTATGGAAAAATAAAAGATGTATATTCACTCAAATTAACAGCAGAGATTATACGTTCTTAAGTGGAATGTGTCCACCCAAAAACCTTTGAGTTATGTTTTGTTAGATAAATAATTACTTACTGAATGAGTTTCTATCAGGACAACTCTTATTAAAACATTTTAAATTAATACTCTGCATATTAAAAATACATAATAAAATTCTAAAACCTGTTGCTGCTACAAAGTAGATCTTGGGTCCTGCAAAGATCTGAAATGCCTGCTTAAACTTACCAGTTGAGTAGGTCCACTGGGGGCCTTTATTGTAAGTGCCTAAATATTTGCAGAGTCAAGCCTCTTTATTATTCAAATACGAAATTTGGGATCTCACACCTGGAAACATGTAGTGGTTGCTACCATGAGTAATTCCCACCAAGGAGGATGTTACATTTTGCAGTAATACTCTGAGGGCGAGAGAGACTGACTTTAACTCCTGTATAAAAAGTCAAGATGGGACTCTTCAAACAGGAAAGAGCAACGACTGCCAACAGATCTTCCCAAACACACTATATTTTATCTCCCAAGAAGGCAAACTTTGCGTTATGGATTAATAACTTATACAGATATATTTAAAGAGAAAAATATGTCTAACATAAAACCAATAAATATTTTTTAAAAATGAAATTTGAATTAAATATTGTATTTGGACTGAAACTGCATGCTTCACATTTCTCCCACAGCAATTTATTGGCAGCCACATTGTAAACCCCAGAAAATAGGGATCTGTGGTTGGTAATGCTGACACAGCCTCATCTTATGCTGCTGGAGTACATCTCAGTAGAGAGACCACCACATGCACTTCTGTACACAATCCCTATGTGCTTGTTCTGCTGAAAGATGGTAAATTGATTCAAATTGCCAAAGTTAAAAAAAACCAAAAAAACCACACCCACCAAAAAAAACAACCAACCAACCAAATGGAGAACCTCCACCAAAACTGTAACTTGTGCTTCTAGAATGCCCTGACCCAGTTTGCAAAGCATTTTCCCCCCCATCACCTGGCTTTGCCATCACTTCGCCTTCCTTGTGGCATGTTGACCCATCCTGTGGCTGAAGTGTTAGCATGTATGTTGTATAAGTGTATTATTAAAGAAAACAAAATAATTGGATTTCTGCAAGTTGGATTGGT